CTTGGCCACGCTCGTCCCTTCACAGTAACCCCTCGCGCGCATCAACCACCCAACATCCACCCCCTGCGCGCCACATCGCCAAACCATCAAGCGCCATGCGCGTCTACGCCAGGAGGTGGACGCCAGCATCCGAAGGGAGGCAAGCCGCGATCGTTCTCAACCATCCGCCCCCGCCCAGACATCCACAGTTCCCCAGCTGCCCAACCGTCGAAGGAGAAGAAGAGGAAGGGGAAGGGCGCCCAGACTGACAGGAGGACCCGCCAGAGGAAACAGCAGGTTCTACCGTGCCCCACTTGCGGACGACTTCACAGCGGCGAGTGTCGCATTGGCCAGGATATATGTTACTACTGTCACAAGCCCAGAAACTTTGCTAACCGCTGTCCGAAGAAAGCACAACAACCACCACAGCAGCCTCAGCAGCCACAGCAGCAGCAGCCCCGTCAGTAGGCTTAGAGGCCGCCACAGCGGCAGCAGCAAAGGGGCAGACAGCAGGCCCGAGTCTATGCAGTTGATCAGGCAGAGGCAGAGCAGCAGCCAGGTACTATGTCAGGGATGCTTATACTTAATGATGTTACTGTTTTCGCCATGTTTGATACTGGAGCGACACATTCTTTTATATCACGACGATGTCTTGATGCCAACAGAGTTAATGCCATTACCGCTGTCGATCCTCTCGAGGTGGGTTTAGCCTCGGGATGAAAGATAGTGACCTCAGCTCAAACTTCAGATCTCAGCCTTTCTATCGGTGGCAGAGTATTGTCTAGCGACGCGTATGTTCTCGAGATGAGGGATTTTGACCTCATTCTCAGAATGGATTGGCTATCGTATTATCATGCAGACATTCGATGCCATGACCGGGAGATTACTCTTTATCTTCCGGGAGACGATTTGTTTACTTTCTTTGGAACCAAGAATCGTTCCTTACCTCATGTCGTTTCGATGGCGAAAGCCACCAAGATGCTGCGACGAGGCAACTGTCAGGGTTATCTGGTGAGCCTTGTCGGTGATTCTCAGAAAGCACGATCGCCTCACAACGTTCCCGTTGTTTGTGAGTTTGTGGACGTGTTCCCAGACGAGCTTCCAGGAGGACCACCTAACCGGCAAGTGGAGTTCTCTATCGATCTCATTCCAGGAGCTGGCCCAGTATCAAAAGCCCCGTATCGTATGGCGCCGAAGGAGTTGTAGGAGGTTAAGGCACAAATTCAGGAGCTATTACGACTCGGTTTCATTCGGCCGAGCGTGTCACCTTGGGGAGCACCCGTTCTCTTTGTCAAGAAGAAGGACGGTTCCATGCGCATGTGTATCGACTACCGGGATCTTAACCGGTTGACGATCAAGAACAAGTATCCGCTTCCCAGGATCGACGATTTATTTGATCAGCTGAGGGGAGCCTGTGTCTTCTCAAAGATTGATTTGCGATCAGGCTACCACCAGCTGAAAATCAAGGAGTCAGATATTGCTAAGACCGCTTTTCGTACTCGTTACGGCCATTACGAGTTCGTCGTCATGCCATTTGGCCTCAGTAATGCTCCAACAGTTTTCATGGACCTGATGAACCGTATTTTCCATCCCTACCTCGATCATTTCGTTATTGTTTTCATTGACGACATACTTATCTACTCAAAGAGCCAGAAAAAGCACGAGGAGCATCTGAGGGTTGTTCTCGAAACCCTCAGACGAGAAAAGTTATATGAAAAATTCCTCAAATGCGAATTCTGGCTCCAACGAGTAGCCTTTCTTGGCCATGTCATTACTCAGGCAGGTATCGAGGTAGATCCTTCCAAGGTCTCAGTTGTTCAGAACTGGTCGACACCGAAGAGTCCGTCCGAGGTTCGCAGTTTTCTCAGTTTAGCTGGCTATTATCGCAGGTTCATCGAGGGCTTTTCCAAGATTGCCCTCCCACTATCCCAGCTGACGAGGAAATCTGTGAAGTTCGAATGGACTGACCGATGTGAGTCGAGCTTTCAGGAGCTCAAGAAGAAATTAACTTCAGCACCGGTGTTGACTATTCCCGATCCTTCTCGGAGTTTCACCATTTTCAGTGATGCTTCGAAACAGGGTCTGGGATGTGTACTCATGCAAGATGGCCAGGTTGTTGCCTATGCTTCACGCCAGCTCAAGCCACATGAACAGAACTATCCGACGCACGACTTGGAGTTAGCCGCAGTTGTTCATGCTCTCAAGATTTGGCGACATTATCTTTACGGCGATTGATACGAGATTTTCACAGATCATAAGAGCTTGCAGTACATTTTCACTCAGAAGGAGCTCAACATGAGACGGCGCCGTTGGCTATAGCTCGTCAAGGATTACGATTGCTTGATTCAGTATCATCTGGGGAAGGAGGACGTCGTTGCTGACACCCTAAGCCGCAAGGTGAGGGGTGACTTGACGAACGTCGTTACTCAGCAGAGCCATTTGATTCAGGAGTTTGCCCAGATGCAGATTCAGGTGGTTGATGCACTTCCCACAGCCATTTCAGGGAGTATCAGTGCCATGCAGATTCAGCCGACGCTGAGAGAGAGAATCCGGCAGGAGCAGGCTTTGGACGAGTTTGGTCATGTCATGGATGCCAAAGTCTGCGCCGGAGGCGTCGAGGGTTTTCAGCGAGGTACCGATGGTGCCTTGGAGTTCAGAGGCAGGATCGTAGTGCCGAAAGTCGAGGCGTTGCGGAAGGAGATATTAATGGAGGCTCATACCGCACCCTATCTAGCCCATCCTAGAAGAACGAAGATGTATCATGACCTGAAAAGGTCGTTCTTGTGGCGAGGGATGAAGAAGGACGTTGCCGAGTTTGTCAGGAGATGTTTTACCTGTCAGCAAGTTAAAGCTGAACATAAGAGTCCGATAGGCCTCCTGCAACCACTACCGATTACGAGATGGAAGTGGGAGGAAGTCACGATGGATTTCGCCACGGGGTTACCGAGGTCGTCTGAACATCACGATGCTATTTGGGTCATGGTCGACAGATTGACTAAGGTTGCTCATTTCTTACCAGTTTCGATGAACATGTCTTTGGATAAGTTGGCTGAGATTTATACCCGTGGGATCATTCTGTTAGAGGTATGCTGTAAAAGAAGTGTTTTGCAGTTTCTATCAATTCCATTTTGATCTGGCAATCATGTTTCGGTCAAAGTACATATGTTTGCAGTTTATTTATT